TTAATAAGGTAGCTAATTTTTATGTAAGCTATTATATATAGTAATATAAGCTTATTAATAATACCTTTATAGTTAATTTAAGCCTTATAAGCTATTTAAAGGCTTCTATTATTATTCTAATAGATTTAATAAATACCTAATTAATATTACCTTTAAATTTAAGCCTTAAATAATTAAAGGGCTAATAATAGGGTATTTAAAGTGGTATTTTTAAGCTTAAAGACTATTAAAAGGCCTAAGAATTCGTCTTTAATTATTAAAGCTATTAACTTATTATTATAATTAGGCTTAAATTAAAAGATATTAATATAAATCCTTTAAAAGAGTCTTAGACTTATAATTTAAGAGCTTTTTTAAGAGATAACCCTTTTAACCTTAGCCTTAAAATAAGCTTTATAATTAATTTATATAAGGCCTTAAATCTTTAATCTAGTAATTTATTAGATTAAATATTTAAGGCTATTTACGTTTAAGTAACCTAATTATTAATATTAAAGGTTAATAAAGACTATTTTTTAGGGTTAAGATTACGTTAAATTAAATTAAAAGCTTTTAATTTAATAAATTTTATTAAATATGATAATAGGCTACTTAAAGTAATACCTTATATAAATGCCTTAAAGAGCTTTTTAGGTTATTAAATAAGCCTTATAGTTATACGCGATTAAATATATAATATTAGGCCTATTTAAATAACCTATATTACAATTATTTAATTAAAGCTATTATTAAAGCTATTAGAAAAGTGTCTTTTAATTTATATCTTATTATAATAATAGATTATTAAGATAAGTAATAGCTTTTTAAATCTTAGACTATAATTTAATAAAAAGGTTAGCTATTAGTTATATTATATAAGCTTTTAACCCATGGAATTTATATATAAAAGATATTAGTTAAGTTATATTTAATAAGGTAGCTAATTTCTACGTAGGCTATTATCTTAAGAGCCCGTTTTTAAATGCCTTAAAGGGCTTTCTAGGTTATTAAATAGGCTTTATAATCGTACGTAATTAAATGTGTAATATTAGGCCTATTTAAATAACTTATATTACGATTATTTAATTAAAGCTACTATTAAAGCTATTAGAAGAGCGTCTTTTAGTTCGTATCTTATTATAGTAATAGATTATAAAGGTGGGTAATAGCTTTCTAAATCTTAGGCTATAATTTAATAAAAAGGTTAACTATTAATTATATTATATAAGCTTTTAACCCTAGAATACCCTTAAACCTTTTAATAGGGCTGTTTTAAGCGAGTATATACGATAATATAAGCTTATTAATAATACCTTTATAGTTAATCTAAACCTTATAGGCCGTTAAAGGCTTTTATTATTATCTTAATAGATTTAATAAATACTTAGTTAATATTACCTTTAAATTTAAGCCTTAAATAATTAAAGAGCTAATAATAGGGTATTTTAAGTAGTGTTTTTAAGCTTAAAGACTATTAAAAGGCCTAAGAATTCGTCTTTAATTACTAGAGCTATTAACTTATTACTATAGTTAGGCTTAAATTAAAAGATATTAATGTAAATCCTTTAAAAGGGTCTTAGGCTTATTATTTAAGAGCTTCTTTAAAAGATAATTCTTTTAGCCTTAGCCTTAAAATAGGCTTTATAATTAATTTATATAAGGCCTTAAATCTTTAATTTAATAGTCTATTAGATTAAATATTTAAGGCTATTTACGTTTAAGTAACCTAGCTATTAGTATTAAAGGTTAATAAAGGCTATTTTTTAGGGTTAAGATTACATTAAATTAAATTCAAAGCTTTTAATTTAATAAATTTTATTAAATTTAATAATAGGCTACTTAAAGTAACGCCTTATATAAAAGATAACCTTATTATTCTTTAATATAGCTTTTATAACTAGGTTTTAATTATAGCTCTTTTCTAGAAAGCTGTTTAATAAGGCTATATTTATGTAAAAGGTTAGAATAAAAGCTACTTACTCTAGCTAGAAAAGCCTTATCTATATTTATAGAGAGACCTTTTCGTAGCCTTTAATTTAAAGCTTTATATTACCTATAAAGGCTTCTTTAAGCTATTAAAGGACTTAATAGTCGGTAAATTAATTAAGGTTATTATAAATATATATGTTTAACTTAGAATTTAAGATAAAAGAATCCCTTAAAGGGTAAATATTCTTATAGATTAACTAGATAAATAACGCGGTTACTTGCTTCACGTGATTTAACCTATACTCTCGTTAATTATAGCCTTTTTTATTAATTTAAGCGTTTTTAGCGTTTTTAGCGTTTTTAGCGTTTTTAGCGTTTTTAGCGTTTTTAGCGTTTTTAGCGTTTTTAGCGTTTTTAGCGTTTTTAGCGTTTTTAGCGTTTTTTACGTTTTTAGCATTTTTAGGCCCTTTAAGCTACCCTTATTTTTTAACCTTTTAAGCCCTCTAATATCTAGACCTCTATAGGCTTTATTATTTATTAATTTTCTAGGCTTCTAATACTCGTAAAAAGCGTTTATTAGCTTCTCTAATTAATACTTATAGAAAGTATTTATAAGCTTCTCTAATTTAATGCTATTAAGGCCTAGATTACCCTAGCGCTTATAAAAGGCCTTTATCTTATAAAGAACCTTATTAATAAGAGCCTTTATTTTAAAGAACACCTTATTATTATTATTAAAGTTAGCTTAAAAACGTGATACCTTTTATTTTTAGGTTTTCCTATTACTTTTAATTAATTTAATTAAAAGCTTATTAATAAGCTTAATTAACTTTTACCTTAATAGATAGGTTTAATAGCTTCTATTAAATTTAAGCTTTAATTTTAGCGTTAAGCTTTTATATTAAATCTCTAAGAGACTCGTTTAAGTATAGACACTTATAATAATAGTGTTTTTAATTATAAAGGCACTTTAAAGCTATCTTTAACCTTTTATTTTTAGGTTAACTAGGTGCTTATAATACATTTAAGGTCTCTAATAATAATAGGCTTTCTTAGAAGGTAAAGAATAAAAAACCGCTCTTATCTTTTATAGCCTTATAACGCTAATAATACTATTTATATAAATTATTAATCTAAAAGCTATTTAAAACCTTATTTATTTAACCTTTCTTATTAAGGTTTAAGAGGTTTAAGATATAATTACTCTAATAGCTTAAAAATATAGAGCTAATTAAGGCTATTATAGCTATAAAATCTAGGGTTAATTAAAGCTCTTTTATATTAGGCAGGTTAATTTAATGAGCTTCTACTAATACCCTTTATTAGCTTATAATTTAAGCCTTAATTTTCGTACGATTAGCGCTCTTTAATACTAATTTATATTTTAATAAAACCTCTCTTTTATATTTTTATAATATAAGTTATAGCTAAGCTTATAATAGCTTTAATTATCTTAAAACGCTATCTTTAATAGCTATTATATTATAATAACTACTAATAGTCTTTATAATAAATTAAGTTATTTATAAGAAATTTAAGCCTCTAAAATTAAACCTTATTAAAGTTTATAATTATTATAACCTTAAGGTTAATATTACTAGATTAGGGTTTTTTTAGAGAAATAATAGTTATTTTATTAGGCTATTAAGAATTAATTAAATACTAAATACCCTAATTAATAGCGTACTTTTTAACGATAAAAATCTACTAAAACTAGCTTTTTAAACCTATTAAGGTTACTAATAAAGGACCTTTAATATTTATAGACCTTTAATATCTATAGCTAGGTTAATTAAGTCTTTTATTTAAGACCTTAAATATATTATAATTTAACGTTAAAATATCTTAAATTTAATGGTAAACTAGGCTTATAACTATTACGTTAATAGCTATAAAAGTAAATTAAATAGTGGAATTATCCTTAAAATTAAAGCTATTTAAGTATAGAAAATAGGCCCTTATTTATAGATATTAAGGTTATCTAATAGGTTACCTAAAAAGTAATTAATTTAAGGGGTTCTATAATATTTAGCTATTAAAGATTCGGCTTTAATAGGGTGGTAGCGCGAGCCTTCTTTTAAGGCTTGTCGTACAATCGAAAAGCAGATATTTGAGGCGTTTTAGGGCTTATCGGGGTCCCCGATAAATAGCAGCCTTTTTCCATTGAAAGGGGCCTTTGGCGTTGATAAGAAAGAGCCAAGATGTGCATACTTATAAGCTGGATCACGGGGATATTCGGCCAAGGGCCGCTGTTGCTGAAACCTTTTTGCTCAATGGCCCAGTGATCTAACCCGATAACCACTTTGATAATATAACGCACGCTTAGAAACTAGCCTACATCCACACGAACCCAAGCAAGGTTCATGAGTTTCGCGTATGTGTCACGCCGCTGGTGCGAAGCTGCTCGTAGGACAGTAATGTGGCTGCTGGTAGAGTTGTAGGTAAAAGAGACGTTGTAGCGACAGATTCCCTAAGAACAGCGGTTTTACCAGATTTTAATTAAGTTTCACCAAAAAAGTCCCTGCAACAGACACAATCTTACCAGTTTCGGGGGGAGCTTTAATACTAGCCGTGAAGATGACAGGCTGTCCCTCCTTCACATCAAATCTTCCAACGGCCGTCCGCCGACAATTCCATCATAAGCAGAACCCGCTTCGGTTGGAAATATAATATGCTAGTAGAATGGAGTCGTCACCAGCCACTGTATACGAAGTCGTGTTGGGCGGTCTAGGGCCTCGCCTCATAGATGCCGTTACGGCACAACCAGCACGCAATCCCTAAAAACCTTCACAAGGGCACGTGAAGCAGCAGCCCACTAGAGTCGTGGCGATGGCACAAATAGCGGCCTATCCAGTTCTACATAAGTAGTTGCCCCATGTATGGATCTAGGCAGACAGCTTGAATATGACCAGGGTAAAACTAGGCAAGTAAACAAGGGCATAAATTCAAGTCTACACAGATTTAGCATTTGACATATCCAAATACAGTTCGAAACCACGAGGTTTAAACGAAACGTATTGGATCCGCCAACAGTCGGCCGAGCTTAAACTCCAGATGAGAGCTTGATACAACGACTGAAGCTCACTAACCCATTAAGCCTCCTTCGACTGGCACTCATCGATTGCTTGTACGATTTCATCCCTAGTCTATTTTCATGTGAGCACAGCCCGCCCCTTTTCGTGGCAGCTAGCGAAACAGGATACTTACAGTGTATTGGGACGCGATGGAAGTGGCCCAGTCTGATATAACCGCATCTGCAGGAGGCTTGACATGACGTTAGTTCCCATTTCCAAGCATATCAATGGCACAGCTAGCAAACTTACATTGGCCTCCAGGCAGCTGACAAGCGCCACACGGAGATCCTCGAATTCATCGCCAGTAACATATCCTCGTGCAGTCTTGGCCGAGCCAGCGAGGGGGTTGGCCGTGGCCAGACCAGCCATAATAGCAGCAAGACCAACGAAAGCCTTCATATTGATAGTCTGATGGTTAGTGAGGACAACAGTATGTGAATATAGTGTGCTTTGTGATGGTTGTGATGGAGTAGAAAGTGATGTCCGCGGAGAGTGTTCCAGTTGAGGCAGAATTCTCGTCCTCTTTATACAGTTCTACTTGTTTGGAGGTACCAGGTCCTTCCTACTCGCTTCTGCAAAGCGCAGAGTCTTGATCATGTCCTCGGAGCCCGCGAGATGACGTGAGGCTGTGGACGAACCCTGGACGTCAGCGACGGCCCAGGCAACGGAAACGTTCTAGAATCTGCCAAATACGGCCATCGTTGGACCCTGTTCCTTGGATTCGGCGGACTGATGCTCCACATATCGGCGCATTTCCAGGACGTTTCTATTCAATGCAAAGAGTTGCCAAGATAATGCAATGAGGTAAAGAGTGGCACCATCTCCTAGGGCAAGGCAATATTTGGACGCTTTGGGATAAGATACAAATGTGGTCTGTGTGTTATTGCCATGCTATCGGCACTCGAGTCAATGTTATTCCCGCCCAGTCCATCATGGGCCGTCGTGTGAAGGCGCTACTATGCACACCGTGCTTCTACTATAAACATCGATTATTCGACACCATCGACCGCATTTGCTTCAATGACATGCCGCAACAACTTGCTATTACATGGGCGCTCCGGTTCTCGGTGGCGGAGCAGGCCTGGTTGCTTAATTGCGGCAATGTGCCATCCTCGCCGCTGCAGTCTGTGATATTCGTCGACGTTCACCGTCATGCCGACTCTAGATGGGTCCATGCCGAGGTAGTCTCTGCCTTTCGGCGACATTATCCCTAGGACTCGGCTCCCAGAAGCCAAGGCACAGTCCACAGCTCGTATCGCTTGTCGTTGTTTACTAGACTCCATAATCAGCTTGCTACGACCTGTCTCCAAGTGCTGTCTACCGGCAGATTCCGTCTTGGCATTTCCAGAGTAAGCCGTAAACGTTACCTTCTGTATTAAATTTTCCAGGGAAAATCTGGTGGAAATACTCGGTTTACAACTTTGTATTCATGCTTTAAAAAAACACAGTATTTCCAAGTCCCATAACTAATAAGCATTCTTCGTATCTCCGTAGTTTGCGCGGTAAGCAGCTCCACCACGGCCTGCTTTGCTCATTACAACTTCAGCCGTCAAGCCTAAAAACCTTTTGCCATCAAGCACGTATCCTTATTCCTTATTCCGTCAAACTCTGCTTCCGTACTTTGAGCGTGCATATATGTAGGACGCATCTGTTTATCGCTACATCGTGTACTGGAAATAACGTCAGCCTAATAAGTCTTTTATCTGGGGACGCTTTTCAAGTCTTACCAATGTAGCAAGAGTGCCTTCAGAAATTGGGCGCATCATTGAACAGAAATTTGAAATCCCCCGACTGAATGCAGCTCAGAACTTCTTTGTCATTATCTGATACCGCTTGAAATTCGAACGGTATACCGCCATTGTTGTAAGCCAAGTAGTAGCCAATGAAGATCTGTTTATTTGATTCAAGCATGGAACCATCTTCAGTAAACAGTGTGCGGACGCACCTCTCGTACACTTCGTCGAGGGCAATCTGTTCGATCTAGGTCTTAAGTTGCCAAGATTTGAACATCGTCACAGTCCCACAAGGCTGTATTTTCGCAGCCAAGGAGGTCTAAAGCATTTGCCATCTTCTCACGTAACGTGTGGAATATTCCGCACTGGGATGTGAACCTTGTTCCCTGGCAGCCCTCAGGCTTTGACGAAAGCAAATTCCGGGCTACTTTTACATGGCCGCTTATTTTGTCGTTCAAAAAGGGAAAAATCTCTTCTTTAAGCGCTCTCAGAAGTTTCTTCTGGATTCGCGTAACAGTCGTTCTCCAGATGAGTATCTGCTCCACAAGAACGATATTCATACCAAGGTGATACAAAGAAAGCTCCAATGCGTGGTCATCATTCAAAACAACTCCTTTGGCGCCTTGTCGGGCGCATTTCGGTACCTCTGTAAACTCCGAAAGTTTGAGTAAATGGCTCTGGACAAAATCCAGAGGATATTTGCGAGCGCCTCCAATAGTCATGCCTGATAGTTGGTAAAATGGCACAACTTTGTTTGGATTCAAAACACCGGGATGAGTTCCAATCGCCACAAAGACCTCTTTTTCTTTGCCTTCTGTATTCTTGTTGCAAGCCTCGTTGACATTTCTACCGGTGGCGACAGGCCCCGAAGTGAGATACGAGCATGGCTGATTTTATATCTAGCCTCTTGTTCCTTCGACGGGGTATTGAGTCTCCGATGATCCTTCTGCCAATGACCGTGCATGCCTTGCTCTAATCCGGTCTGCAGATGATTGAATAGGCTTGCTTGTTGTTCTGGCACAGGCACATTTGAGTCCGAGGCAGCTTCGCATATTTCTCCATCCTCGGCAGGCTGTTCCTCTTGCTCTCGTGTATCGATGAGTTTGGGTACTTTTGTTTGACGTGGCGAGACGGTGGAGTTTTCACATCGTGTATCCGTCTCGCGACTATCCGAACGTTGAGAGCTCGAGCGCTTGCGAGACGCTGGCGCCGCCGCGCCGGCGTGTCTTGAGGAGGCATTGCACTTGCTCTCTGGGTTGAAGTCGGCGTCTTCTGTTGGCGTATGGAGCTTGAAGGAAAAGGTTGGCTGTGAACTCCTGTCGGTTGGCTCTTCTAGCCTTTGGAATCGTTCGTGTAGGTGGAAAGAATACGGCAGCAGGAGCGGGAGGGACGACAAGTTTAAGTAACCCCTAGGAGTCGCTGCCTGACGGCCCGGATACAAGCTTCAAGACGTATTTCACGGCTGTTCAATGGTGGTCCGTACATTGTGCTTCATTCCGACTACCATGGAGTGCTACTGAACTGGCATCCAGCAAAGCCAGAACCGACCTCGAACAATGGAAATCGCCCGCGACTCGAGCAAACAAAGACCACCCCTGGCACTACAAACAGCAAGACGATAGAACACGCTGCCAACTACATGCGTACTGCCACGCATCTTGTAATGCCCCTGCCCAAAATGTGGCTCGCTGTGTTACGACTCGCGAGGCCGGCCAAAAGGCTGCAGACCGATTTCAGTACGAGTTGAGTGAACTCGAGAGGAACATGCAACCCTAGCATGACTGTGATTTGCTTTTACTCTGAAATATCTTGTACAAGCAGTAGTCTAGTTTCTAGCTAGCTTCGAATACACACTACGAGGTCTAATTAATTACTCGACAACCTACCAACTCCGTACAGTATGCTGAGAGTGCTGGCAGCGTGTTTCGCTTGCAAACCCGTGTATGTAGACAAGTCTTTGTCAGAGCTCGGCACCCCTGCCTCGCGAGTCAACATCAGCTTCACGCCAATTCCCGCGTCATTTGCTGTACAGAGGTCACGTAGCATCGTTCCACACGGTCGCACGAGTCCTGTATGCGATGGATATTCTTCTTCTGCCACGAGTGTTCAGCCGGTCTTTGCAGTGTTCGGCGTCGGAACCATCGTTGAGCACCCAACACATGTCACGCACGTCCTCACCGCGCCCGGCCCAGCTGTAGGCGTACAACAAATGGCTCTGTAATAAAAACACCCGTTGTTTCTCGGTAAAAGTGTGCGCAAATGGCCCGCCGCAAACAAGGCCGGCAACGGCAGCGCTGATGCTAGGCCCATGCAGCACCTTGTTACTCTTATACCGGGCCGGCCATGCTCTCTGAAAGAGGGGATTCTCAGCCTTCTTCCGTGTTCCGCTTATCCAAGTCCATGAAATCCTGCAGCGCGGCCAGGAAGGATCGATGGCTGGGCGTTGAAGCCATCCAGGCGTTTAGAATCGAATGTCCAAAGTTGGTGTCGTTGCCCATTCGGCCAAAGGTTGCCGTATCCGGCACAGGAATATCTTGTTGATTAAACAGGGATCCATGTGCCCGCTCAACGTCTTCTGTTGGATGTAAGCACTCGGTGTCGAGGTCGGCATGAACGCTTTCATGTAAGCCGTTAGCCTTTCTGTAGCGGGCAATATGTGTCACACGATCAAACCTCAACAACAACGCCCAATAAAAGGGGCATCGCCGATAAAGGACCTGTGAGGCTACACAGACTGAACACATGACCCGCTGGGAGCATTAGGCACATCTGTCTCTTCAATGTGTATATAGTGGTCACTAGTCCCTGCCATTCCCTTAGGGATCAAGGACCTTGGACATCCTACAAGATTATCTAGTTTGCCCGATAGATGACTCCTGGCAGGCCGCGGTAGGCATCCTCAAGCCAGAGAAGATGTGCCTAAACCAGCGCCAGGTTATACTCATCGGTCCAGACGACCCATTCCCAGTCGGTGCTTCCGCCGACACGACAGACTCCTGTCTCGGAATTTTGGCGGTAGCTCCAAAGTCTTCGAGCTCCGGTAAAATATCTTGGGAATTGGACCCCGTGTGTCCGTTGGGCGGCGGGAAAGCTTAATCGCTGGTAATATAAAACGTTTTCAAAAAAGCAACTTAAAATAACCTGTATATCAACACCTCAAGCAATAAGTAAGTCTTAGTAACACAATATGATTGTTCTTTTAGTCTTATTATTAGTATAATATGACTAGTAATATATGGTGTATGCACACATTAAACCTATTTATGAAGTATATAAACGGGGGATAATAGCTCAAGATGAATAAGAGAGTTGTTAAAGGTTATAGAGAAAAAGAGAGCCAGGATATACACGTTTATAAGCTGAATTTTAGGATCGGCTTTGAGCTCACATCACTAGATCTGTTTACTCCATGACTCAGTGGTTAAACCTGACATCTACTCTAATAAAGACCATCTTAATATAGATCTGTCAGAAGAGCCTTAGTCACAGATCCTTGCTCCATCCGAATCTGCCACAGTGAAAAAGGCCGAACCACCAATATTGAAAGCTTTAAATGGTGGATTACATGACCATGACACTCATAAAAATCGGCAATGTCTAGTAGCTCCCCGGTAAGGACGGTCCCCTGGCCGTGATGCTTCAACGAGACGGCCTCCCAAGCCTGGACCACAGGAGGTCGTAAAGCGAGTTCCCATGTTCCTCTCCAGGCAATAACAGCAGGTCGCCCTTTACCTGGCGTATCTTAATAGCATGGCTGATGCCTCTTTTCCGTTCCAAATTTCCATCGTCTCGCGCTTTGGCATTTTCATGACAGCGGCCGCTACTGTCCGGAGCATGTCGTCCGTCCATGGGATCTCCATCGGGTGCGAGTTATTGTGAAGTGAGGGCAAGCAAATTCAAGTTTGGCCACTTCCAGGAAGCCTCAATCGCATGGAAGAAGTGGCTAGCATCAACAAGATACGATGCCGAGAGGTGTTCAAGCTTGAGACTGGCGTCGGCGACCGCACGGCTGACATAAAAGTCCGGGATCCGAACAGGACTACACCTCAGACATTTCATGGCGTACTATTGGTGGAAATTCTCAAAGAGTACGAGTTTCCGTAGTTGTCTAGAGGCGAGCGATTCAAAAAGCACCTGGAAATCTACTACAAGGATAAGTGTTAGCTGTCTCCAGTACACACAAGTGGGAGCGGCACTCACATTTATCTCCCAACTTCTGCATCCCATCAATCCAGTCCCTCCGAGGCTCATAGTGAATTTCCTCGAGTCTGGGAAGACGGGCAAACATCTGTGCTAGTGCGACCGGCTTCCAGCCGGCAGTTCTGCTGACGGAGAAGAACGCTTGTTATTGCCGGGACTAACGGCAGTTGCTGCCATCACTGGGCTTCCTGTTCCTCAGCGTCGAACGGCTTCTCGCCCATGATGTCGTCAAAATATTTGAAAATAGCCGCAAAGGATGGAGTGGAACCTCGCTTGCCGTCAATTCAGCCGTGCTGATGGTCAGTCACTTTCGCTGACATCGCCTGCTTCTCGTATAGGCTCCAGTCGCACCGGGCCGGGGGGATGGGAATATCAGGCCCAAAGGTCAGATATTTGAACCAGTGCTCCGAGTCGCTGGGGAGTGAAGACTGGTATCGAGCAGCAAGGTTCCGTGTGGCTCCCATGTGCTGAGAGTTGAGAATAGAGGCTGGAATGCTGTGGTAATCTGAACATTGTCGCTGTTACCGAGCCCTTCCATATCTCTGATACTGGGAACACACTCAATGCAATCATATTCCAGGAGTTTGAGGCAAAACCAGATGTAGCGGACACGAGCCCGATGGCGATGAGCAATCGACTCAAAACCGGCGAGCCGTGAGGGTGTCAGCTTGATTCGGGCGAAATTGTGCGGCTCAATGATGGACTTCCATTCTCGAGACACTGTGGCAAAGCCAGCCAAGTCACATGCGTCCTGCAGTAAGGACTCTACGACCAGAGTTCGGAGTGCCAAGATATATTGCTGCCTGTTGCTAACGACATTGGCGTCACCTTTACCAAGAGGTTGACAGATGGAATCCATTGTGCGTGAGGGTGAAATACTGGAGCAGCTGGTCTCTTCTATATGTTCTCGGCAGCGTCAAGGTGGTCCGTTAAGAAGGGTAGCGTGGATCTTATCACGATATGGTATCATCTAGTTGCATTCAAGGTTGTTTTAGGGCCAGGCACATGTAAACCCATGTCGTGTTCATGGCAGTGCTCAAATGAATTATGGCTCTTTCTGTCAGCATTCGCGATGCAAAGCAGCGAAATAGGTGCGCTTACCAAGCTCCCTTAGCCAAGTACAATAGCTCGATACACCAAGGGCTCACAAAGTAATTCCGGTAAAGCCAGGAAGAAAGAAGTAATGAGGAACATGGCAGTCAATTTCAAAAGCGGTGAAACCTTACCAACTAATAGTCTACGAAATGTCTTGCTTGTCTCACTATTCCACGGCGGACGAAAGCCAGATGACGAAAGGGAAGAATCCAGTCTGACGATACATGAATCAAAGAGCATAATTGGTCGGGTCTCAGTTTCAGCCGGTTTATTGAACCAACCGATCTACAGTGGAAGGCAAAAGGAATCTGACCATATCAGGTACCTGGCTATCATGTTTTATATTATAATATTTTGTGTGTGTATATTTGTGTATACTTCGCGGCGGTGGGGGCAAATATATTCTGCCACAGCAACACCCAGCCCGCGCAAAGGTGGCCGACCCTCGTTCTGGACCCACCAGTTGACCAGACTCCCGGAACTACTGGATAGCGGCGCAAAGAGGACAGAATCCGACAGACCAACAGTCCAGTCTACAGAGGCCACCTCGCCAGACCTTGGCGCCCCGCCCCACTTGCATCTCGCGTGCGCTCCCTCCACCAATGACAAGTCGGCCTCGCCAACCTCAACGTCAACTTCGACCTCATGCTCGTCCTCAATCTCCTGTCTAGACCTTACCTCCCCATCCCGCAATTGAGTCGCCAGAATCGTGATTCTTCACCCCGCGACTCATCCCTTCTTGCCCCCATCGCTCTTTGGTCTCTTTCTGCTCCTTGTTTGCGTCTCGTCCATCTGCCCGCCATGTTGTTCTCCTCGTTGCTCTCTGTGCTTGCTCTGCACATCTTTGGCGCGGCTGCGGTATGAAAACCACCACTCATCATCAATTGAATGACAAGACACTCACGCCTAACTCGACGACCGTCACAGGCCGACGCCGCCGACGACAGCGCCTCCTCCAACAGGGCTGATCTCGCCGCCGTCGTCAAGACCACCTTCCCCGACGCCGACATCCTCGGCGTCCGCCTCGTCAACGGCCGGCCGACCAAGGCCCTCGTCGAAGTCACCAACAAGGAAGATGGGCCCATCCAAATCTCCGTCCTCGCCGGCGTCCTGGCCACCACCAAGACCCTCCCCGAGGGAACCCCCGCCTACCAGGGCATCATTCGCAACCTGACGGTCGTGCAGTACAACCACCCCATCGAGGCCGGCGAGACCAAGAGCTTCACCTACTCCTTCGCCCTCGACATGCAGCCCCAGGATGTGAAGCTGCAGATCGCCGCCGTCATCACAAACGCCAACGGCGACGTGTACCAGGTCCAGGCCCACGACGGCCTCGCCGCCATTGTCGAAGCTCCCACCAGCTTCCTCGACCCTCAAATGTACCTACAGTTCTTCCCCCCTGTTGATGCTCGAGCGCACATTGAAAAGATCTGACTAACAATCCCGCCCAGCATCTTCCTCTACCTCGTCCTGTCCGCCGCTTTCGCCGGGACCCTCTACTTTGTCTACAAGACCTGGATCGAGGCCCTCTTCCCGCAAGCCAAGCGCACAAAGTCCTCATCCAGCGGCCTCAAAAAGGCCAAGAAGTCCGCCGACGCCGACGCCGCCCTCTCCGGCTCCGAGTCCGCTGCCGCCACCACCGGCAGCAAGACTTACGACGAGAGCTGGATCCCCGACCACCACATCAACCGCCCCATCGCGAAGCGCGTCAAGTCTACCCCCAAGAAGAAGGTTGTCGAGTAAACACCTCTTGTTGAAAGAAAAGAGGCCTGTGTTTTTTTCTTTCTTGAAAACAAAAGGGTCTGTAAGACGAGCTCTGGGGATAACACGAAATGTCACATCGTGATATGGCTGTATGAGAACAAGCAACCTGTACTACGAGATGATCTGCAGGCGGGCATAGCTTCTGTCTGACTAGGAGATGGGACAAGGGGGTTTGTTGGGTATGAGTCGGCGAGGGGAATCGGACAAATAAAAGCTATCGCACAGTATTCTGTACTACCGCGTCAGGATTTTACTATTCTTGCACCAAAAAAAAAATAATCAAAACCCTAGTCATACCTCATGCCACAAGCTTGAACGTGAGCCATGTCCGGGATTTCATGTGCCAAACGTGTCCTCATCCCGTCTAGCAAAAAGCCCAGCTAAGCTAAGCGTAGTCTCGCGGTATCGTACTTGTACGTTGTGTCATCTACACCCATTGTAATATACCATTCAACATAGCAACATGCAAGCCACATCATACCGTCTTGACAAAATTTTTCTCACTCATCGCGTCTCCGCTCCGCCGCCTCCCCAGCCAAATAGCTCATCACGGCCTGCTCCTGCAGCCTGCAATCCCTCTCGCCGCCGCCGTCCTCCAGACCAACATGCCCAAAGAGGCACGCCCACAGGTCGCCCTTGTCCACCACCTCACCCGCCGACTTGTCCTTGCTCATGAGCTTGGAAAGCGCCGCGTGCTCCAGCTCAAGCGTGTTCGCCGCCTCGATATTCGCATCCAGCAGTTCCGGCGTGGCCGCGCCTTTTGCACCGGCGCCCCGACGGCCCATGTGCTCCATGCGTCGCTGCACCGAGAGATTGTAAATGCTCTCTTCGACGGTGCCGGACACCAGGTACAGCCATACGGTAGTCTCGTGCTGCTGCCCGATACGGTCTACCCGCGCAATGGCCTGCAGCTCGAGCGCCGTGTTGAGCAGAGGCTCACACAGGAAGACGTGGCTCGCGTTGACGAGGTTGAGCCCGCTCGAGTGGGCGCGCGCATGAAGCAGGAATACTTCGACGGCGGGGTCTTCCTTGAAGCTAGCAATGCCGTTGACGTCGTCGATGGAGGCGTGGCCGATGCGGAACCGTCTGAATGCGTTGCGCAAGATGTGCAGGAAGTCGCGATATCTGCAAGTTTGCCACGTATTAGCAACAGCGAATGGAATGGACGGGGTTTGTCGTCCAGGCAGAGAGGACAATTCAGAAGACGTACTGGGAAAACACAATCGACTTGGCACCGGGGTCGGACTCTCTCAACCAGAGGAGGTGCCTCACAAGGGTGTCAACCTTGGTCGTGAATGACGGCCCGTCGAGTTCCACGTTTTTAATCTCGGCCAATTTGTCCGCGTTGAACTCGGAGTAGATTGCCGTCTTTTTTGGCGAGCTGCCAGCCACCCGCCGCGGCAACGAGCCTCCCTGATCATTGGCGCCTTCGCTGCGAATCTGTAACTGCTGCGGCTTTATGGCGATGTCGTGCAGGTTAGATGGCTTCAGGCCCCTTTTGCACACGGGGCAGTTGTGATGGGCTTTGAACCACAGCGTCATGCATTCCTTGCAGAACTGGTGGCCACAGACGGTCAGGACGCCGGTGACAAAAGGCGTCTGGCAAATGACGCACATTCGGGGCTCATTTGACTTGGCACCCGCTTCTTTCAAGTTCAAGACTATTACCAAGTTAGAACCAAACACCTGGATCGCTGGCCGAGGGTTAGTTTTTCGACTTACGGTATCTATGTTTCGCTTCGGCCGAAGACAGTTTTCGACGCAGCTCATCTTCTGTCTGCTTCAGCTTGTTGATCGCGTTGTCGTCTTTGGGTCCTTCCAGAGGGAGCACGGCGTCCGAAACTGCCTGCAGCTGACGATAGTACTCCAGTCTCGCATTCATTGCCACTTTGAAACTTTCAATTTCCGATTCCAGTGCCGTTGCCACTTTGTTTTGATCGTTGATCTGGCTTTGAGTAGCCTTCAGCTGGTCCGAAGCAATCTTGAACTCCACGGCCTCACGGCTCGTAGTAGTGTTGTCGCGGGACAGCCGGGATTGCAGGCCACGGAACTCGCTTACGGCACCTCTCATGGATAGATGGGCCATCTTGGGTTTAATTTCTGCCCTCAGCCGAAGCATTTGGACCATCTTCACCGGCGCTGGACCCTCACCGGCCCTTGCCAGCCGGAGGGAAGTTTCGGTTTCGTGCTTGGCCAATTCATTCGTTTGGCCAGAGATTGCGTCTTGACGATCGGCAATAGCAGCTCGCAAGGTGGTAACATAGACCATAAGCAAGTCTTGGAACTTGGCAGAGTCGCCAAGCTCTTCTCCAGTGGTTTCGACGTCTTCGTCTTCGTCAACCAATGGTTTTAAAAGTAGTTGAAGAACTTCTTCACGCCACCCGTCAATGATATCTGCTTGCTCGTTCAATTCGCCGTATAGTATGTCGAGGTCATCGACAATTCGGCTACTTTCAATTCCCTTTTCAGGAATTGTAGAAAGCTCGGGTATATTTACAAACGTTCGAGTGGCGGCTTTGCGGGCAATCCTATTCATAAGCCGCGTCGCTTTGCGGTTACTCTCCCCCAGGATCTCTCTTCTCAATACTTTTGCGGCATTATATCCGTCATCTTCGAGCTTTTTCAGCCTCTGAAACTCTTCAGAGTCTGGTTGCGTCAAGTCTTTATTGTCTTTGATTTGAAAGTAAGCATTGGCGCAAAAGAAGACGGCTTTGTGATGCAATTCCAAGGCTGAACGAAGTCGTCGGCGACACTCTCCAATTTTACCCTTGGTTCCCAGCTCGTCTTGTTCGTCGTCATCCGTGTCCGACAAATCGCGAGCATGGTCGACTTCTTCAGCCTTCTTTACTGCCTCTTCTCCGCCATGCTCTCGGATTGTATCCTTGAGTTTTGTCCTGGCATCTGAAACAAGTCTTTCAGTTTCTTGTCTTACATCCTCCCATAGCACCAATGCCTCCTTCACACGCGGGCTGTTTTCATACATCTGGCCCCGAGTCAGCCGGCTCAACAAATATGCCCTTTCCTCTGTCCTGATAGTATTTTCGCTTTGTTCCAGCATAGCGGTCAGCACTTCATCAACAGTCCTCATTGGGCGCGCCTTGTTATAACCCAGCAAGCGGCGATTGTATATGCCAACCTCGGGATGCAATGTAGTCTGGCGCAGCCGGTTCAGCCAAACTCTCATGTCGTCGTAGTGCTCTTCGGGGTCCCAGTCATCTGCCTTTGGAGACCCATCCGTCTCGAGGCCGCATCCATCGGCCATTTCTTTAAATAAGGATTGGTAATGCTGTTCTTCAACGGCTGTGAAGGGCATGCTGATGACGAATCTTTTTTGAGCAGGAAGTAAGATCTCGTCCCGCACCATACTCTTGGTGTGTCGTAATGAAATTGAGTTGAATATTTGTTTAAACAGAGGTTTATGGTTTGTAATAAGTGCTTGCCAGACCTGTGATGCGGAGCAATATGGCTCATACCTTAGAAAGAGCAAGAGGCCGAAAAGATCCTTTACATCATCCTTGACTGGCGTGCCGGTGATGCCCCATGCATTCATGCGAGGCAAGACCCGCGCAACGGAGGCTGCTTGGCTGTATCCATTCTCAATCATCTGGGCCTCGTCGAGGCACAGCCGCCACCACGCTATCCTGACGAGAGGGGATGTCGTTCGAGGGTATGCTCTCTCGTATCTACGGGATCGCTGAGGAGGTTCAAATGCAAAATGCAGTTCGGCGGAGAGCACGGAATATGTTGTAATAACAACATCGTACCCACAGAGTTCCTCGATAATTGTTTCCTCGTCTCCGTCCTTCATTTTCTTGCACCCTTGATAGTGCTTTACCCGCAGGCCCGGGGCATGCCGTGCGATCTCTGATATCCACTGTTGTCGCAATGATTCGGGAGTGACAATCAAGGTAGCTCCAGTAGTAGCAAGACCGTCCGTCTTAAGTCCGTTTTGCTGAGCTTGATGTTCTACACGACTATGTAGGAGGATGAGCCCCAAGATCTCAAGGGTCTTGCCAAGTCCCATCTCCTCTGCCAATATACCACCTTTCACGAACCTGTCTGCCCGGTTGTACGAGCTTTTATCTCTAGTGATGGTTTGAAACACATCACTCAAAAATACAGTTCTTCCATCAGCATCCTGAACGGTGCGGAAGCTGTCGATTGAGATTGAATGATGATCCACCGCAGTCGACTCTAGCCTAGCTTTTGCCTGGGACCATCGCACACCCTCTCTTGCCAAAAGCCATTGCAGCGTTCTCTTCTGGTACGGAAACAATTCTGACTCTAACCCGGGAACGTCAATATTTAGAGCGACTTTGTCATCCTTTGGTGGTACATGCGCCGCCTCATAAAAGTCCATAGGCGACCATGCCGACGGATCCTCGCCCTCGGTGTCTGGGAAAATGGAGTCGATAATCTGTCGCGTTCGTTTTCGATCGTTTGAGTTTGGTAACGGATAGTATGGTGACGGTGTCTCGTTCCAGTTTAAGGAGAGCGAAACTTGCATGGTTATCACCTTGTCATGCAAGATCATCGATGTTGCCACTCCAACCCAGATATCACCAGGACTATCGCGCTTCGCATTTGCACCTCCAATACCAAGGATACGAGTCGCCTCCTCTTCAATCTCATCCCCGTTCAATGAAATACTGAGGGAGAAGGAGCCTTGCGGGGCTCCCGGCCGTGATGTAACTGACAAAACCCCATGTCGCATCGTAAATTTCAAGTATCGGCCCGCGTCCTCACATGTTGAAGCAAAAGGGGAAGTTTCGCCGTCATTAAATGGCCTAGAAAACAGCAATCTTGCTTTTGCCACGCAAATCGGAGAGTATGGCTCGGCCGTGATCTTGCGACGTTTCGCAGACGAATCTACCCTGTTCGGAGCTTCGACTTCGCCCGTCGCGCTTAAAGCTGCCAAATAATCGACCACGGCAGAAGGTATAGGGTCTTTTAATCGAAAAAGTCAGTTGTTTTTCCTCGCAATACTCCTGAAATCCACATGCCTTCCACTCCAAGATCGATTGTCGTCAACGCTGGCGGCTTATACGGCCTTCGCGCCGAAGTTTTCTTCGGCATTTTTCATTTAGAAAAAATTGCATCGACAGAATCGCCTGGCGAGTTTATGATAAAACATCCCATCTCACGACATTTTCAGCGGGGATACCTGGCAGACAGGGCGTCGACGACTGTGAAAGATACAAAATCGGAAGAGAGACTACTTATAACATGATCAGCCTGGCCGGTGACCCCACAATGAGGTAATGCTCTCACCAATCAACAGCTACAAATCTACGCCACGACGGTCAATTGACCTAGCCTCGCTTACCTAACTGACCAACAAATTTCCATGCTTGGTGATGCCTTTTGCAGGAGCTTGCGCTGCCAACCTGGCGTGAACAGTTCGAGCAACAATTTGGGCCAACTGCGCCAATCCGCAAAACGAGAAAGGTATGGCACGATGCAAATCCTTCCTATCATCGTCACTGCGACGACCCTTCAAACCCCCGCTGTCCAGGCACAAAATTACTAATTCCAATCCAGCCAAGATGAGGGCCCCCGGCCTCCGAGCTTCTCTGCGCCTCTTCGCAAATACACCTCTGTCCAACGGCATCCAAATCAGACACTTGCACAGGACCCGACCTCCGCATACGATACCCCAGCCTCGCCCCTTTGTCCCCGACGTACCTACCTTCCTAACCCTAATCGGGCGCGGTCTGAACAAACACGCCTCCAAATTCCCGTCATGGGACTCCCTCTTCTCCCTCACCTCGCCTGAGCTCAAAGAGCTGGGGATCGAGCCGCCGCGAAACAGACGTTATCTCCTTCAGTGGATGCAGCGATACCGCAAAGGCGCGCTCGGTCCCGGCGGCGACTTCGAATTCGTCAAGGACGGCGAGGCTATCCTCAAGGTCGCCACGCCACCGGCCTCGGTGGTCAGCGACGCAAAATGGGTCGTCAACGTCCCTCACAGCCAGGGACCCGAAGCCGAGGCCCCAGCGTCAGGATCTTCAACGCTACCCCGGCCAAAGGGCTACACAGTCCGCGGACTCAAGTCAATAGCCGGCCCGTACGCCACGCCGCTTCCCGAGGGAGCAGGTGCCGTCGTCAAAGTCACAGAGGGCATGTGGGAGCAGCGCCGCGGGAGAAAGATTGACGGTGGTGAGCGTCGCAGAGCAGAGATACGGTTCAAGAGACGATCTGCTGAACGACGGGCGGAGAGAGAGGCAGAGATGATGGCGAAACTATAGCTAGACTGGGGACAAGTATTTATAAAGGAGGGCTGCGAAATCCACGAGCATGCCGTTGTATTCTAGACTTTGTATCCATAGCCATTCGGTCACAGGCACCACGAATATCAATCACACTGATGCGATTATCTCTAGAGCTTGTAAGCGTAATTTGGTGCTGGATGTCTGGGGCCGGCTGCCAACAGACATGACGCATCGTGGAATCAGGATTACACACAACTAGAACGAAAGGTAGTGCAACTCTGTAATCTCGAGTGACACCTAGCCTACGCCCGGTTGGTTCGTCCCCGCATCGACTATCATCTTGGCACCAAATACATGTTTCTATTTTGTATACCAATAGTTGAGTTGCTGGCAATGTACCTCATACCTGGGTTCATATTCAGTTTACTGATGGCACATTTTTCACTTCAACACATTTCAATCTGTTATACAATCATACAGTGTATTTGTGTCCACAAGGCAACATGCCAACATAGTATGACCGAGACTGTAGGCCATTCTGAGCTAGTACCTGCTTGAGTCGGCTGTCCACACGCAAAGGCTTTGGAGAAATCATGACTGGGCAACTTTTGTTTTCTATACCCAGGTATGTATGAAATACGTTATCGAGTATCCAGGATACGCACCAGACCCAACAATAGACACCTTGTAAAACAAGCAGTCATAAATGTCGACAGCTACTTGCTGATTTATACACTGCGGTAGGAAAAACTAGCATTAAGATGAAACTCGACTTTTGGTCTATGCTAACCGACGCAAACGCCTGCTATCGTTCGCCAACGCCCTGATTTTCGTGTAGGCGGAGTAGAACCGACGCCGTCAAATATCAGAACTCCTAATCATGGTTCCACGTATACGCGCACGGGGCCAAAAAGCAACAAGAGAACTCAACACTTGACCTTGCTTAATATTTACGCCCCAAGTCCGCGTCGTTGGCTGGCACCGTCAAACTTGGCCTTCATACCCTCTTCAAATTGGCGTTGAATATCGGCCTCTGCCTTGATAGAGTCCGACTTGGTGTTAGCAGTGTTTGCAAACGCGCTTCCGCTCTTATTCCCCCCAAGAAGCCTCATAAATTTGCTTTGACGGGAGGCTCCCCCTTCAAGGCCACCGACGTTCCATTGTTCAGTAACATTCTCCTCAGCAGTCCCTTGTTCCTTGTTTTGTTTGGATTTCTTCTCCTTTTTCGTCTTGGTTTTTGTTTCATTCGGCTCGTCGGGATCCTCCTTCTGCTTCTTGTCCCTCTTTGCTTCTCTGTCCTTCTTCTGCTTCTTATACTTCTCCTCCTTCTTTACTTTCTTCTCCTTTTTTCCCTCCTCCTCCTCCTCCGCCTCCTCCTCCTTCTCGTTCTCCTTCTCCTTGTCTTTTTTCTCCTTCTTCTTTTTTTCTTTCTTCTCCTCCTTTTTCTTCTTCTTCTCCTCTTTCTGACCTTGGTTCTTCTCCTCCACCTTTTCAACTATTTCTGGCTCTAATTCCGGCTTCGGCTCCGATTCGCTGGGTCCGTCCTGGTCTGAGCTTGTCTCAGTCGGAGTAGTTTTGCTCTTCTTGGATTTGGATCCTTCATCTACAGATTCACCCCGTTTCTTACTGGCAGAAGCATCACTCTCTCGTCGGCGCTTCTTCGTATCAATGATAAAGGAGCCAGGGGCGACGGGTTCGATCGACACACCACCATCCGGGTCCGAGGAAGACGAGGACGAGGTGGGGGGCTTTGCGTCATTTCCTTTCCCGGATGGGGGGGCGTTGTCATCACGGGCCTTTTGGGCGTCGGCCTCCTGCACAATATGCGTGAGCCACGAGGTTTCGGGACATCTAGGAGGGGCGTGTGCGGTTGGATGCGGCAGCACCATGTAAGGCAAGGCACATTATTGATATGGGGAGCCGATTCGACAGCATATCAAACTTACCTGCTTGGCTTCTGTCATCAACTTGTACTGCTCGGCCACCCTCTTAGCCTCAAGAAGAAACTTGTTTCCCTTTATCTCCAGTTGCTTGGATCGCCTCAGTAGCCGCTGTCGTTTCTTTTCTTGCTGAGCGGGACGTTGTGCAAGTTTCTCGGCCTTTTTGTCGCGTTTTAATTGCTCTTTGGCGAGAGCAAATTCTTTGCCAGTCCGGGTTTGCTTCGCCCTTCTAAGTTCGGCTTTCTTCGCGTTCTTCAATTTCTTCTTTGAGACTGCAATGACGCACAAATGTAGCGGTTCCGTCAGCAAGTTTTACATTCGAAAAGCAAGGCAAGACGTGTGTTATGAGATGCGAAATCTGAGATAACGGGAGAGGTGGTGTCCTTCCGCCCCGTCCGGCAGACTCCCGATTGAGGATGGGGGCTATGTACGAAGTCGAGCTGGAGCTTACATACCGCCTTTTTTGGCTGCTAATTTCGCTGCGGAAACCATTGCACTGGCTGCAGAAGAGCTCAATAAGCTCAACGAATTGTAGAGTCTAGGTGAACGACTTGGAACGATCTGCAATGTCGTACGTTCGGGAGATGCGAAAAGCGCGAGATGCGTCGTTCAAAATATCCGAGGAATATGGGGGGCTGGAAGGGCAGGGCCCTGCTGCAAGAGAGAAATGAGCGCGTACGGAGTAATCGAGGCTTGAGACGGGGTAACAAATGACTTCTCAGGAACAAAGTCCCAATTTCTTCGTTCATACAAATGTCCCCGGTAGTACTTTGCAGTCTACATGAGAGCAGGAGGGGTGTGTTGCAAGAACTGGGCCAAAAAAAAAAAAGCCCAGATTTTGCCGGGCGGTGAAACAGCTCTAGCTTTGGTGGGTGGGAGCTGCCGTTATCGAATCCCACTGCCGCCAACCGACGGGATCCAGTACCCGTCCTAAGTGATCCGATTTGCGGAGTAAACTAGAGCTGTCAAAAAGAGAGCCAGATCTGACATTCGCAAGCCATCGCGACGTAAAATACGTGTATGCGTATGCATATCGTTTGCCCAAGGCCAATTCTCATCCGTCCTAAATGCTCCGAATAGGAGTAATGAATGAACTGACGGGGCACTTGCTAACCAAAAAAAAAACACATTAGCCATTTGTGAAGTCATGGTCAATCTACCTCAATACCCCAAGTTCAAGGTCCTGAACTCATGCCAAGGTGTCCATGCCAGTTCAGTTAGGCCACCAAACCAGAGAACATGACGAAGTTTGTCATTTACACACCTGCACCTCATCAATCGTCTTCTACCACTGAGCGTGGCCGCCAGCATCGCGGTGCCGAGAGGTAGGCTTACATGGCCAAGATTTGCATGTCCGATGTCCGCTCAACAAGTTCGAATCGTGACATGTCAACGTCCAATGTTACTTTGCAGCTCAACAGTCCGAGAATCCTTGTCCTAAACCAACCTATTAGGTCGTTTGGGTCTTTTCGAGAAACAGGTAACTGAGACAAATGGACCCCTAAAAGCGCGTCCCCATCCCAGCAACTTCGTGCTTTTCAAACAGTGGCTGAGCCGAGGTATCACAGACGCACCCGTCCTTCGGTGTTCCCTGGCCTGTATTCACTACCATTTACAAGGAGTCGAACGCCTAGTCTGGGGTACAAGGCACGTAATGCGGAGAAGTTACGCGCAGTATTAGTTCCCCGGGGAGGGTGGAAAACTCAATCCATGCATGTCAGTCGTGTAACGAGGCTGGAGCACGATTTGTTCAGCGGCAAGCCAGAAGTGCCGGGTGGCACAATCAAACACATAGTTCTATTGTGGCGTATCTGATGTTATCGAGGGCATGGTATTTACCAATAGGAGAGTTGGTGACCGCATCAGCGGTATTGGAGTGCGAGTAGCCGGAAGAGTAGCCTGAACAGCTTGATCTTTCATAGGCCTCGGCATTACATCAGACATGGTTGGTCCTAAGATAGTTTAATGTATTGATACATTTGGCAACTACACGAGGTTGCTTTATCATAACCTTGTTGTTAGATAAAGAAGGAGCGGAACCAAAGTACTCAGGCCGGAATTAGTCTCCGACCCAGGAACAGGGTAGCTGTAGTGTGAGCCAGCAGTAATTTCCTAGCACTTGAGCTGATACAAAATGTGTGAAAGCCAAGACCCCGTCAAGAAGAGAGTGAGAAACATTCTAGTCGGTGAGTAGTAACGCATAGCTAGAAAAGATGGCACAATGCAAATATACTCTTCCCTAGAGGCTCGCCGGACTAAATAACCGGAAAACTGCCTTGAATGTTCTCCAAGTTGGATCGTTTACCATGGGCATTTACGGAGTACATACCAGTTCGTGCATTGACTTCCCCTTCCCCTTCCCCTGCCCCTGCTGAACCAGGGACCGTTGTTCCAACAAGCCATGACGAACTAATCAGCCACTTCCATTCCCTGGCTTTCACTCTCTGCAGCTCATTCTAGGCGTCGCCTTTTCGAGAAGAACATAACGAAGGACGAGTTGCTATAATTGATAATTCAGATGAAAGGAGCGCAGGGCTATGCAGAGACATCTGCGAAGGGCGCACTGTCATCCGAAGCAATTGACGGCGCAAGACTGCGCCGAGAAAACTACAAACACTTCGGCCGACTTGTCTCACAACGCACCAACCCATCCGGTTTTGCGAGGTACGATGGATGCGAAAGATCAAAAGTATAGCTCGCCGGGCTTTACGCCCGACGCTTGGGCCACAAAGGAGCACTATTGGGCCACGAGTTCCATGGGCCAAACGCCGCCGTCCGCCCCCGAAGCCGGCATATGTGGTATGCTCAAGAGGATCACTTCCCGTTCGGATGAGATCATCAGGCAGACACTCAATCAGGACGGGCAACGGGCCCAATCGTGCGCAGAGAAAAACGCCCATACATGAGTCTAAGGAAAGAGGCTCGACATTTTGGGGGCCGCAAGCTCGATACGCAGACACAGACAACGACGCACATGGCTCGGGTGCCGTAGTTCGCGAACAACCAGCTGGTTAGTTAGATTTGCGACCAAAATAGAAACCAAACGATATCATATGAGCACGTAGTTACTCTGGATCTGCAAGCTCGCTTTCCCCGTATCGCGCAACCACTGCCTTCCCAGTCACCCCGTCGCCCAATCCATGCGGCTGGCGGACCGGGGGTGGCAACATAGCCCGTTCGCCCAAGGACCGGATATCGTATCATTCGAGGCGCGGGGGGGAAAGGATCAAAGACATTCCAAGACATACAAATGCTCATAAGGCTACAGCTCGTGCCCTTTTGACTACTGCTTTGAGGCGGTCCAGTCTCCAGACAAGATGTAACGTCGGCGTCAGTAGAAGCAGCCAGTCGCCGTCGATTCCGACGTGCTTACACAAAAAGTTTGTTGAGCGTGGTCGCAAGCTTTATTCCCTTTTGTGTGAACCGATCCTACCATCCATCTTGCCCCTCATTCGCCTTCAGCCAGATTCCCTAAGCTCACTCCCATCCACCAGCGAAGGGGCTTTTTTTTCGAAGCCTGGCGCCTAGATATTGCGCTCCCTGTTTGCAGAGGGCGTTGGCAGCGTCGAACGGCGTCACTGCCCCGTGCGTATCTCTCGTGCCATCGCCAAGGCGGCACCTTGGCCCAATGTAGGCAATCGGAAATAAATGCACTAAGACGATATCAGCTAGACGAGTTGCACCACAAGAGCCAGAGCCTCGCGCGGGTGTGTGTGGTGGTGGTGTTGTAGACTGAGGGCCCTTTGGATCCATCCCACGTCCACATGGCATCAGCCGGGGAGGGGGTGTCGAACAGCATTGCAAAAAGAGTCTGAATGTCGGCCGCATGCCTCGTTGACACAGTTTTACATAAACTATAATCGAGGCCATATAGCATGGAGGAGGACCAAAGGGGTGCTATAGCCAGCACAGCGTAATTATGGTAGCTATGCGGTTAGTCATCAGGTTTGACTCTGCAGCACAAGTCAAGCCTGGTGCTCCGCAGTGTCCCGAGGCGAAGCGTATCCCGCTCGCTATGACCGCTCAGACACCTGTAAAGGCCGCCTAGATGCCTGTAAAAGGCCTAGGCGCCAAGAACCGGCAACCAATTTCCACGTAAAACATGGCAAGTGACTACATGTCGATGCCAATAGTATATCCAATATTGTCCAAAAACGCGAGAAACATTGTTCGATTTGCAAGTCCATGCCACCAAGAACAAAAAAAATTGCGAGAAAAAGGAATAGCTAAAAAAACTATAGCCCGATACTCACAAAGCCACAATCCTTGGTCTTATTTCGGCCGTCGACGAGGATCATCCCATGCAGCTGCTTAAAAATAGAGACGGGAAGGAAAAAAGAAGAGAGAAACGGGGGGTTCCATGATCTCCATCCAAAACACCTGATGATCGTTCCATGTCCATAAAGTCAAGAAGCCTAAATCTCAATGCGGTCGTTCACAGAAAGGCGATACTACTCCGTACCGCATGCGCGTTTCTTCGCATCCGGCCAATATGTCCGACAACTGCAGCTATTTCCCCGCCACGGCTACACAGCATAATGTTTATCTCGCTTCCAGATTGTCCCCCTCCTACTCCATTAAATTATCAGAGTCGGATGCCGGCGCCACCTATAGAACGTGGTTTCTTGCCTGCCCCGAAGCGCGGCTAATGGGAGACTAGGAGCTAATAAAATAAAATACAAAGGTCCCCTCGCAGCAAAAGGCCCGTTACGGCAATTCTCCCAAGCCCACCTACATTTTACCCCTGGTCTTGCCGTGGAAAGGAATTAGAAAAAGGGCTTAGAACTGGGCGTAGAACCGGGCGTAGAAGCCAAAGTCGACTAGTCCCAGGTGCCGTCTTTATTGCTGGGGAGAGCCGCAGCCAGGCGCCGCAGCCAGGACCAAGCGCTATGCCTAGCGCGGACTGGCAAAAATTGCAAGTGGCACAGGAAGGAGCAGCAAGCCCAAAT